CTCAAGGTCTTTACTGACAACCTGTGGCAGATGTTGGGGTGATCTCATTATTACCAAGTGTGGATAAAGGTTCTGACTCCCCAGTCAGCCTTCTTGACATCACCCAGGGGGAGGGCAGAAAAGTACCTTGATATAGGGCACTTGATATAGGGCAAGGGCAAAAGTTAAGGCTCTATACTCACATTTTTTCCATGGTGTTTGGCTGGAGTAGAACAGTTACTGTCTGAAAGTTACCTGTTTTGCCAGGCTGCCCCTTTCCTCATCCTGTAGCTAGAGAGAGCTGACTTTTCTTGGGGCCTTTTTTTTTTTTCCCTTTGGTGTGCATCTGTTGGATTCTCCAGCACCCAATTTGGGCTATATGAGTCAGGAAGAAAACCTTTGTCACCATGCTTCTTGAGTCCTGCGATTCCTAGCAGGCCTGCCTCCTCTCTACCTTTTAGAACCTTCTTTATCATCAATATCCAGGGTCTTTAGCTGTACTTAGCCAGAGGAGTAGGGAGATGTGTGTCTACTCTGTTTTATCCCAGCAGATACCTGTGGTTCTGCTGTCACTGCAATGGTACCACAAGGTATTGGTTCCACAAAGAAAAATGGACATTCAAGCCCATATGCTTTCTACTGCTAACACTCACCACCCCTAAGTTTCAGTCCATTTAGGTGGATGGAAAGGGTTTTAGCTCCATGCCTACACAACATAGCTTACCCCCTCCAGTGTCAGTGCAGCAGGGAGCTTACTAAGTAAGGCAATTCTGGTACCAGAAATCTAAATTTCCCAGGTGATAGGGTATTTGCCTCTGGCTTGGGAAGTGAGGTCTATTAGTTGTACTTGTCAGAAAACAGACCTGCGAAGATCAAATCTCTGTTCTCTATCATGGAGGCTTCATCTGCTTTCATGCCATTTTGAGAGCTTAAGTGGCCATCTCTTGCTGATAAATTCTGCATTGGGTTAAGAGAAGGAAGCATGACTTTTGTACATTTCACATGTAGTCTCTAAAAACCAACACAAGCACTCCAAGACTTTAAATCCTTTCTGCTGGCACACGTTTCAAATAGACATGGGAGCTGCCACTTAAGGAAGTGCAGTTTGTACACTCCACAAAGGCACCCAACCAATGGGACAAAAAGGAGCTAAGATCCAGCCCCGGCTCTGCTTGCCAAAACATGTACCCACAGGGCTGCATCACCCAGAGGGGGTGCCTTTTTCAAATTTGCACAAAGGCTCCCTATAAGCACTCAGCTGGGCTCTGAACCTAACAATAGCAGTATTGCAGCATCTCCAAAGAAATACGCTCTTGTATTCTATAAACTCATTATACTTGAATATTCAATTGATACTCATGCATAATTTATATCATCACTTCAAAATAATTTATTTTCAGATTTTCAGGCCCATTAAAATGAGCTCGGAATCATCTGAGATGGAGCACGCTGCAAATTTTGGCCAAGGTCAAACCGGCTTTTTAAAAGGATTTTCCATCATTATCCCCCTGGGCCTGCACCTTCCCATTAGTAAGGGTTGTTAATGATCAGGTGCTGTGCAGAGAGGTTAGGCTTCCTGATAATGCACAATTCCCTGTCCCTTAACTGTGAACAAAACCTTCTCCTGCTGCCCTACTGTGTAACAGATGAGTATGTCCTTTCAGGCAATTCAAACTTTTTGCCTTCTTGGAATGGCCACATCACTGATTAAATCTGGATACTGAAGGCTACAACAGGTCACTAGGGAGTTGTGAGAAAAGGCCCATTATTTGTCTCCATAGTCATCCAGTGGGCAATTAGTGGATACGTCTCTACTCAGAATAAAAGCTTTAATTTCCTTGGATCAAATAAACTTTAAAAAATAAGCCACTGTTCCTAGTCTTACCGAGTGGTGATTTAGATGTAAACATTTGGCTCACATCAGGACAAATAACAAGAGAGCACCAAAGCATACCCTAATTTCTTTTTTTTTTTTTTTTTAAGATTTTATTTATTTATTTGACAGAGAGAAAGAGATCACAAGTAGGCAGAGTGGGAGGCAGAGATAGAGCGGGGAAGCCGGCTCCCCACTGGGCAGAGAACCCAATGCAGGGCTCGATCCCAGGACTCTGGGATCATGACCTGAGCCGAAGGCATAGGCTTAACCCACTGAGCCACCCAGACACCCTCTTTTTATTTTCTCTTTAATTGCAGTATAATGACAGTGTTAGATTAGTTTCAGGAGTATAATAAAGTGATCCAGCAATTCTATACATTACTCCGTGTTTATCACAATAAGTATATTCTTAATCCCCTTTACCTTTTTCACCTATCTCCCCCTCCCATCTCCCCTCTGGTGACCACCAGTTCTTTATATTTAAGAGTCTAGTTTTTTGTTTGTCTCTTTTTATCTTTGTTTTGTTTCTTAAATTCCACATATGAGTGAAATCATATGGTATTTGTTTTTCTCTGACTGACTTCAGGCAACACATTATCCTCTGGATTCCTCCATGTTGCTGCAAATGGCAAGATTTTTTTTTCCTTCTGATGGCTGAATACTATTCCTGTGTGTGTGTGTGTGTGTGTGTGTGTTACAGCTTCTTTATCCGTTCCTCAATCAATGGATACTTGAACTGCTTCCATAATTTGGCAATTGTAAATAATGCTGCAATAAACATAGGGATGCATATATCTTTTTTTTTTTATTTTTTTTAAGATTTTATTTATTTATTTGACAGAGAGAGATCACAAGTAGACGGAGAGGCAGGCAGAGAGAGAGAGAGAGAGAGGGAAGCATACTCCCTGCCGAACAGAGAGCCCCATGCGGGACTCGATCCCAGGACCCCGAGATCATGACCTGAGCCGAAGGCAGCGGCTTAACCCACTGAGCCACCCAGGCACCCCAAGGGATGCATATATCTTTTTGAATCAGTGTTTTTTCATATGCTTTGGGTAAATACCCAGTAGTGGATTTTTTTTTTTCTTTTGAGGAATCTTTTTTTTTTTTTTTAAGATTTTATTTAGTTATTCAATAGAGAAAGAGATCACAAGTAGGCAGAGGAGCAGGCAGAGAGAGAGGAGGAAGCAGGCTCCCCGCTGAGCAGAGAGCCCGACACGGGGCTCGATCCCAGGACCCTGAGATCATGACTGAAAAAAAAGCCCACAGCAGAGGCTTTAACCCACTGAGCCACCCAGGCGCCCCTTGGGGAATCTTCGTACTGTTTTCCACGGTGGCTACACCAGTTTCCATTCTCACCAACAGTGCATGGGGGTTCCTTTTTCTCCACATCTTGTCAATTCTTGTTGTTGTTTTTAAGATTTTATTTACTTCTTTGACAGAGAGAGAGACAGTGAGAGAGGGAACACAAGCAGGGGGAGTGGGAGAGGGAGAATCAGGCTTCCTGCTGAGCAGGCCCCAGGGATCACAACCTGAGCAGAAGGCAGACACTTAATGACTGAGCCACCCAGGATCCCCAGTTCTTGTTTCTTGCGTCTTTTTATTTTAGCCATTTTGACAGGTGTGAGGTGATCACTCATTGTGGTTTTGATTTTCATTTCCCTGATGGTAAGTGATGTTGGACATCTTTTCATGTGTCTGTTGGCCATATCTATGTCTTTGGCAAAATGTCTATCCAAGTTTTTTGCCCACTTTTTCATCAGATTGTTTTTTGTGTGTGTATTGAGTTGTATGAGTTCTCTATATAGTTTGGCTATTAACCTCTTATCAGATATATTATTTGCAAATATCTTCTCCTGTTCAGTAAGTTTTCTTTTTGTTTTGTTGATTGTTTCCTTTGCTATGCAGAAGCTTTTTTTCATTAAGTAATCTCCACACCCAACATGGGGGCTCGAACTCATGACCCTGAGATTAAGAGTTGCATGTTCCACCAACTGAGCCAGCCAGGTACCCCTGTGCAATAGCTTCTTACTTTTAATTTTTTACAGTTTAAAAAAATATATTTTAATTACAGTGTAGTTAATATACAGTGTTAAATCAGTTTCAAGTATCTACTGTAGTGATTCATCACTTCCACACAAGGCCCAGGGCCCCTCACAAGTGCACTTAATCCCCATGGACTAGTTCACTCATCCCCCTCCCACCTCCACTCTGGTAACAATGTTTGTTCCCAGTAGTTAAGCATGTTTCTTGGCTTGTTTCTCTGTCTTTTGTTTTCCTTTGCTTGTTTGTTTTGTTTCTTAAATTCCACATATGAAGTCATAGAACATTTGTCTTTCTCTGACAGACTCATTTCACTTAGCATTATACTTTCTAGTTCCATCCATGTTGTTCCAAATGGGATGTTTTTTATTTTGATGTAGCCCCAATAGTATTTTTGCTTTTTTCCCTTGTTTTGGGAGACATATCTAGAAAAATGTTACTATGGCCAATGTCAGAGAAATTACTGCCTGTGCTTTCTCCCAGGATTTTTATGGTTTCACATTTAGGTCTTTAATCCATTTCGAGTTTATTTTTGTATATGGTGTAAGGAAGTGATCCATTTTCATTCTTTTGCATGTATACCCTGGTTTCTTAATTACCCTTTATTTCTTGGCTTCACTAAATATTAATTTTTGAAAAATATTAATATTTTCTCTCAACTCCCTTGCATCATAAGGTCCATATCTACAAGGTGAGGAGTTTTAGCTAGCTAAAATACTCTAATGTGTATGTATCCCAAACAAATTTGGCTTCAGTGAATAATGTCCTTTGAGTTCCATTTTTTCTTTTAAAGGTTTTCTATAATTTTTTTAGTACATTTAAAACTTTTTTCTCTTTTATGTGGAAATGGATTTCCCATCTAACTAAACTTTCTTTTTTCAGATGTACTCACTTTTAAAGACAAGACTTCTATAAATAGCCACACCCTTTTTGCAAAATATTGTTATGCCAGAAGGAAGACTTTTTGAAAATCCACCATAAATAAAAATAAAATCAATTTTGGAGAGTTGCTATAACTTTTCTTTTAATAGTTAAGGGTGAGCAGAAAAAATTCTGATTCTCTTCCCATATAATGTGTTCCCTTGTATAAAAGTGTAATGTGGTGCTCACTTTGGCAGCACATATAGTGAAATCAGAATGATACAGAGATTAGCATGGCCCCTGTGTTAGGATGACACACAAATTTGTGAAGAGTTCCATATTTTTGTACACAGTTAAATATTTCACTCCCCCTGCTTATTTCATGTTTATTCTGGGCTGAAAAAGACTTTGCCAAAACATTAAAGACCATTCTTTTCACTAAAGAAAGAAAAAAGTATAATGTTAACATTGTACAAGAATTGGTATTTTGAAAAATAGGTTACGGGTGCCTAGATGGCTCAGTTGGTTAAGTGACTCCTGATTTTGGCTCAGGTCATGATCTCAGAATTGTTCCTTGCTGAGTGTGGAAACTCAGTGAGATTCTGTCTCTCTCTCTCTCTCTCCCTCTCTCTGCCCCTCCCAACACATCCGTCCCCTGCTCACACACTCTCTCTCTCTAAAGAAAAAAAAAATAGACTAAATTACAGAACATGGCTAATATGACTCTCTAAAATATTCATCATAAGTCTATATCTTACCATATGAATGGATTTCCACTACTAAATTGTTCAGTTTTAAAGTGTTTGGTTTGGAAGTATTCATCCAATGTGAATGATTGAAACAGAACTCATTCAAAGACCTGGATTCTGGTCCTCATTCTGCATATGCTGTGAGGTCTTAGCTAAGACACTTCCCCTGGACCTTTGTTTTCACATCTGAAAACTGAAGATTCTAAATTCGATCCTCTGTTAATGGCTTATACTCCCATAACTTGATGTCAAAGAGTTCTGGGACTATCCTTCAGAAGTCTCAAATTGTTAGAAGAACTAAATCATTTCTGATTTACAGGTGAAGAAACAGGGATTCAAATAACCGTAAACAACTTGCCCAAAGTCAGGATGCTAAACCATGGACTGGCAGATCCCTCACCTAGGTCTTTCTGATTCTAAAGCTCATGCTTTTAGTTCTACCTCCAAGGCAATTCTCTCCTTTCAGAAGTCCCAGAGGAGAAGAACCTCTGGATTCCATACTATTAGCATGAAATCTATACCTTGTAGAAGAGCCTCCTTAGAGAAAGTACTGGAGTGCTTCAACATTGGCCTCTAGATCCTGTCCTTCAATTCACTGAGACAGGGGTTCTCACACTGTGGTCCCTGGACCAGAAACAATAAGAATGTCAAAGACTTGCCAAAAAATGAATTCTTGGGCCTCACCCTGTATATCAGAGTCTGAAGCAGAAACTCTGGGAATGGAACCTGGCCCTCCGTGTTTTAACAAGCCCTCCCATGATTCAGTTACGCAGGGCAGTTTGAGAACCACTGCACTGAGGTGTGACCTTGGAAATGTATGCAAGAACTCTGAGCTCCAGCCTCTAGCTCTGACATCCTAGGGTCCTCCTATGACCTAACTTATGAATGAACAGGGGGATAGATCATATTCGTACCCCTAATTTTAAGGACTGATACCCATAGAGTGAAGGAGAAGGCAGATGAGGAAGACGAGAACAGCCTTTTGTATGTCCCCCAAGTAGCCAGAGTAGCAATTGTCGTGAGGATGTATGGCAGTGATGCCTGTGACATCCCAAATTAGAACAACTCTTTTGCAGTCACTCTGAATGTATAAAATGTATTAGGCAACTTGGAACTCAGCTCAAAGAAAGAATCAATTAAAAATGTGCATTCTGTTTCTTTAGCCCTGCTTTAAAGTCATTCAGGAGACAGTTTCTGGGAAAGGAGTCTAATAGATCTGTTTTGCAAACTGCAACAAAGTAATATCTCACTTCCCAGGAGTTAACCCCCCATCTCCCCCACCTCCAGGAGATGAATATATTTTGGGATCCATTTTCACCAGAGATGACATAACCAGCCTTCCAGGTAGCTTCAGGAACTCATGTTTCCCCAGCTTAGCAATGACTCAGCGGATGGCAAGGGAGTATGAATGGCTTTAAGTACCATACTGGCGCCAAGGGTCATATTTTCATTATTTATTAAACATGTTTCTGGCCCATCGCCCAAGTTCCTATAACTCTATTCTTACGTGGTGCACAACTTGGGTCAGAGATCTCTTCATTAGGTCTGGTCCTAAGGTTAGAAAGATGCCATTTTTCACTTGTGTGATTGAAGCTACTCAGGCATTATCAGAACGCCTGTCAAATGAGAGTTGACTGAAGGAGTGCACAGGGTTAAATCTGGTTTATAAAGAACGGCAATGGGGCGCCTGCATGACCTCAGGGTTGTGGGATTGAGCCCCACTTGGGCTCTGCGCTGAGCATGTGGAGCCTGTGTAAGAGTCTCTCTCTTTCCTTCTGTCTCCCTTCCCCTGCGTTCTCTCTCTCTAAAATAATAAACAAATAAATCTTAAAAAAAAAAAAAAAGAACAGTGATGGTTGCACACCATCTTATTTATTTCTGTCGTGATGGGGAAGGACGCAAACAAGGTCTGAACAGTTACTATGTCCCAAATGCTTTATGTACGTTTCTCTCATTGAATCCTCACAGCAACCCTGTGAGGTTGGAGTTTGGGTACCATTTTGTAGACAAGCAAGCTGAGGCTGAGAGTCCTGAAATCGCACAGCTGATAAAATGGCAGGGCCAGGAGTGCGACACAATTCTTTATCTCTCATTTTCCTTGTTGTCTGAAACGGGATTTAGTACATGGGCAAAATGCCTCCTCAGAACTGGGGCTCGGAGTATGGCCTTGAAACAAGCTGATGTTCAAGAATCATAGACCCTGGGGCACCTGGGTGGCTCAGTCATTAAGCATTGGCTTTCTCCTCAGGTCGTGGTCCTGGGATCCTGGGATCCAGTCCCGCATCGGGCTCCCTGCTTGGTGGGCAGCCTGCTTCTTCCTCTGCCCTTCCCTGTGCTCTCTCCCTCACCTTCTCAAATAAATTAAATCTTAAAAAAAAAAAAAAAAAAAGGAATCATAGACTGTACCTTGGAATAACAGAGGCAACTGATTTTGGTGGATAAAGGGGGAAAAAGTAAACTCATACTTTTTTTTCTTCTTTGGAGAAAGAAAGAGATTACATGTGGGGGTTGGTGGGGGTTGAAGAGAGCAGAGGGAGATGGAGAATCTTAAGCAGGCTCCGCGCAGCACAGAGCGGCTTGATCTTATGACTTGATCTTCCACACGGCTTGATCTTATGACTCCCCCATATCGTGACCTGAGCCAAATCAAGAGTTAGATCCTTGACTAAGCCACCCAGGTGCCCCTAAACTCTAGTACTTTTTGTTAATTTGTTCTATCAAATATTTTAGACCTATAAAATCACCTATGGATATGTCGCTCATATACCTTTAATGTGTATAAAAGAGAGATGTCATAAAGACTCTGAGAAAATAAACACTCACGCATCTATAGCCCAGTTCTGTGTTCGTTTCTTCACTGTATCTTTGACCCACAAATAACCACTGTCCTGAATTTTTTGTTTTTTCCTTGATTTTCTTTATGGTTTTATTATATGTCTTTGTATATGTATGTATAAAATATATTATTAACATTGTTTCTAAACATTATATATGTAGGGGCTCCTGGGTGGCTCAGTGGGTTAAGCCGCTGCCTTCGGCTCAGGTCATGATCTCAGGGTCCTGGGATCGAGTCCCATATCGGGCTCTCTGCTCAGCAGGGAGACTGCTTCCTCCTCTCTCTGCCTGTCTCTCTGCCTACTTGTGATCTCTGTCAAATAAATAAATAAAAACCTTTAAAAAAAAAAACAACATTATATATGTAAGGTATTATACTGAAAGTATACTTCTGCAATACGATTTTTTTTTTATTTAACATTATGCTCCTGGATTTATCTATTTTGTCACATAGAGCTATAATTCATTCATTTTCTCTGCTGTATTTTTGTCCTGTCATATCAGTAGACATGTGGATTGTTTCCAGTTGTTTTTTTTTAAGATTTATTTATTTATTTATTTGACAGACAGAGATCACAAGTAGGCAGAGAGGCAGGCAGAGAGGGAGGAGGAAGCAGGCTTCCCGCTGAGCAGAGAGCCAGATGCGGGGCTCGATCCCAGGACCCCGGGATCATGACCTGAGCCGAAGGCAGAGGCTTTAACCCACTGAGCCACCCAGGCACCCCTGTTTCCAGTTTTTGATCATCACTACGCTACCATGGACAGTCTTAAACAGGTCTCTTGATCACATGTATATTTCTCTACATACATACTACCTAGAAGTAAATTGCTGAGTTTTAGGGTATGCACGTGTTCACCTTGATAAGACAATGTCAAATTGTTTTCTGAAGATTTGGACCTCTTTATACTGCTACAAGCAATAGTTAAGCATTTGTATATCCCAGCATTTGATATTGTCACACTTTTTCATTTCATTTTCTAGTTTGGTAGGTGGAAAATGGTAGCCTATAGTTTCAACTGGTAGTTTCTCCACAACTGATTTGGTTGAATGTCTTTTGGTTGAAAGTCTTATTGGCTTTTCTGGTTTCCTCATCTATGAAATATATACTTGGCTCTCAAATCCTCTACTCTCTCAACCCTTCTAGGTCCATAGTATGGATGAAGAATTGCAGACACATGAGAAGTGGTGAAGGAAATGAGGGGTGGGGTAAAATGTGTATCCCAAGAAGAGAAGACACCATGTTTGAAAGCCCAGAACTCAATGAGAATGCTGTGTGTTGAAGAAACCAACTGAATCCCACCCAACACAGGGATGAAAGGCAAGCTTTGACTTCAAAGTGAGAGAGTTCTGAAACTGAAACACATTTCAAGACCACCCCATAGTAATTTTCAGGTCAATATCCAGACACTGGTTATATGACTCTGGAATCCCTTAGCCACAAAAGGATATAAAACAGCTGAGAGAGTAGAAATGCAGGAATGATTTGTGGAGATGAGTTTTTGGAGGGAGAACTGTTTCCTTTAACTCCTTCAAGTGGGAGGACGGGTGCTACCCTTTTACCTCAAGATTGGAGAGAAGGACTGTAGTTGGACCAGGAGGAGAATTTGATATGTATTCTGAGGGACATGACATTCAGAGGACATGGTAGATGATGTCAAGTCATGCTTTAAAAAGTGAAAATGACTTTAAAATGTGAAATGACTGTAGTTGTCCACAGTTACCCATTAGGAGAGAGGCCAGAAGTGGGAACAGCTTGACTT